GCAAGATCCACCCATCAGATTGTTAGCACTGTCTTACAGCATCCTTGCCAGGGTGTTAAATCATGTATATTGGGAGACTGCTTCTAAATTGATACACTCTCCCTTCTCTAGGCTGACATCTAGCACTCTCAGTCTTATACTTGACTCATGCTGGTATATGTTGGGTAACACTCACAGCAATTCTAGGGCATACAGAGCCCCTTTCCTTAGTTACAGGCCAGTATTTTCCTGGCTGGGTTATAACATGCTTTAGTTACTGGCCTGAGGCAAAGAGAGGAGGTGAAGGTAGTTCCTGAGGTGGGTGCATGTTATCTTGCTAGGCAGAGGCTTCTGCATCATCTTATGCAAGGGTGGAGTGCCAACATTTAATAGAGAGGAGTAGGCCACTTCTGCAGGCCAAGAGGATGGAAGGGAGTTTGGGATTCAAGATATTCAAGTGAATCTACTTGGTTATTTTCATCCAGCGTTTCAGGGCCCGATCTGGGCTGGGACCTCACCATTACAGACTTTCCAAGTTTGAGAATTCAGCCTTTATACCGCCACTATCCTTGCGGTAAATTCTGGGCCAGATCCTCAGTTGCTTTCCCCCCATTAGCTACAGGAGATGAAAGGCTATTTGTATGCTGCCAGGGAGAACGTCTATATTTCATATTTGGGTTTTATTGGTAATTAGTCACCGTCTGACTTTCACTTTCTTTCTCAAATGCATTTATTGTCCCAAAAAAAGCTATTCAATTCCCCATTATTTATAACTATCATGCATATAATTACTCTGTGCCCCCAATTTTTCTAATGCCTGGGATTCTGCCAATGCCAGTATATTGCCTTCTTCCAGAGTCCCAGTTAGTTTGCCATTGATTAAGATCTTATCTGCTTTCCTGTAACACGCCATGGGCTATTCATGCTCCATGGTTCAGCTCTGAAATCCAGGTTAGTGGCTACTTCCTATGACGACCCCTGGCACCAGCTATCTTAAGTTGGCTTGGGAAGACTTTGCCATGGAGATTTGCATGCAGAAATTTTGGGGAACAAAGAAAATACGACAGGACAGATAGAGGAGTTGAACTGGGATGCAGCTGCAACAAAGCCTCAGCCAACTCACTGAGAGCCCTAGAATTGGGATGATTCTTCAGAGTTGTCTCAAAACAAGTGAGCTGGGCCTGTATACCCTCTACTTCAACAGTTATTGGCATGAATTACCCATGGAGGCTGAGGATAGTTGGAGAGCAACTGAATTTAGCTGCTAATACTCCCAGCGGTCTTGATGGGGTTGGGACTATGAACAGTCCAGCCCAGTGTCACTACTGCATTGAAATTGGAAGTTGGGCCATGTATGATTGCTTGAGGATGGGAACTGTGATTTTTGGGTTGCAAATCATATGAGATGAGCTCCATAACTTCTGGCTCTGAGTCTTGACCCTTAGGGAGCAAGAAAGAGGCAAATGTAAAATTCAAATATGGAGCAGACATGCCTGTAATCCCACTACTTTGGGAGGCCAAGGTAGGAGGATTGCTTGAGCCCAGGAGTTTGAGATCAGCCTGGGCAACAGGGAAGATTCTCTCTACAAAAAATAAAAATATAAAACCCTAGCCAGGCATGGTGGCACATGCCTGTAGCCCCAGCTACTGGGGAGGCTGAGATGGGAGGATTGCTTGAGCATGAGAGGTCAAGACTACAGTGAACTGTGATCATGCCACTGCACTCCAGCCTGAGAGACAGAGTGAGACCCTGTCTTTACAAAACAAAACAAATTTGGAACAGAAAATGAATTCACATTCAAAATATGTCCACATACCAAAATTTTTGCCCAGGGGAAAATCAGTGTCATTAAATGCTACCAAATAATTGGAGATGTTATGCCTGAGGAATTATAATTATTGAGCTAATTAATATAGAATTTAAAATAAGAATATTTAATTCTTCTAGAGATAAAGGAGGAGATAACATCTGTGAAACTAGAAACGTTTATATGACATTGACTAAAAGTTGTGAAATAAGAGCAAATAGATATAAAAAACCAAGTAATCAGAAGTCTTGAAAATGAAAAATGCAGTATTTTAAATAAAGTCTTATAAAGAACAATAAATGAATTTTGAAAACAGACAGTGACAGAATCAGTTAATTGGAAGAGCAAAAGTGTGCTATGATACAGGGTATGAAAATATAGATATTAAGAGATTTTGGAGAGGGCACTGATTAAGCAGCACCATTTCTGTTAGGAGTTTCAGAGATTGGAGAGAGGTTTAAACGTGCAGGAGATATATATATTTTGAGATCTTATGGAATAATTAATTTTCCATCTATAGAAAGCTCACTGAGTTGCAGCTGCCAAAAATCTACCAAAAAACACATCAGGTTTTGTGAAACCATAGGGCATCAAAGTCAAGAAAAATACTAGTGTAAGCAGCCTAATCCTGTTAAAGGAATGGCAATACAAATGACATCTTCTCACCTGCAACAATAAATGTCATGGAAAATAACAGAATTATCTTTAAAGTAGTGAGAGAGTATAGGATTTATTTTAGAATTCCAAACCCAGCTACCATACTACAAGTTTGAAGGTGTAATTGAAATATTTGCAGACATACGAACCCAAGATTTACCACATAAACCATAGCTGAAAGAATTCTTAAAAAGTATACCATGGAAAGAAGACAAATGAGGCCAGACTAAAGGAGTGGAATGCAAGAATAGAAAGTGAGCAAATTAACTGGTAAAGCATGTTGGAAAATCTAAATAATAATTGTTGATGTTCAACAGAAAAAAAAAACTAGCATCTCATAGGGTTTAACTTTATCAGCAATAATTTATTTCATTACAAAAATGAGGCAAAACTGGCAAAATAATGACATTTTAAAATTAGTGTGTTATAAACTATCACAAGAACAGAAAACCAAACACCGCATACTATCACTCATAAGTGGGAGTTGAACAATGAGAACACATGGACACAGGGAGGGGAACATCACACACCGGGGCCTGTCACGGGGTGGGGAGATGGGGAGGGATAACATTAGGAGAAATACCTAGCGTAGGTGACGGGTTGATGAGTGCGGCAAACCACCATGTACATGTATACCTATGGAACAAAACTGCACATTCTGCACATGTACCCCAAAACTTAAAGTACAATAAAAAAAATTAGTGCTGTATATGGTTATGTAAAACAAACAAACTAAACATTCAAAAAAAGGCAAAAAACAAAACAAAAAACAACCCAAGGTGGAGTTAGAATCATATAAAATACTGTAGAATAGCAGAAATGCAAGGATACTTAGTAGTTAGAAATTAACACAAATCACCATGAGTTGATTCAAAAAGAAATTACAAAAAGTCATCTTATTCATACAGAAAAAAAAGTTTCTTAAATTTTTAACATTTAAAACCTTAAATGGACCCTGCAGTTACTGCTTTTCTCCTTCCACTTGTGTCTCCTCAGGTCCTCATAAAGCATCCAATTGTTTTAAACTGGACCAGCCCCAAAGCCTGGTCTCATTAGCACTCTTGCCAGGTTTCTGTACATACTCTCGTGGCCCAAGGTTCCATCTAGCTATTGTATCGTATTACTGTATACACACAAATAATTAAATGTCAACATTTAAAACAAGTTGATAACATCTTTGTAGTAACTTAGGCAAAAACAAAGCAAAAATTCAACACTTTTTCATGATCTGAAAGACTGAAAATTAACTGCTTCAATAGATTATGGGTTATCTAACAACCATGTAAAGATCATACTTTATGGTAAAATTTAGAAGCATTAACACAAGGCATAAAACAGGAATGCCCATATTAACCATACTGTTCAACCTGGACTTGAAGTAATATCCAATATAAAAGATTAAGGAAAAATAAGATGTAATAAGTTTGTCAAGAGACAATATTCTCATTATTTGGAGATATTATTTTTATCAATCAATCGAGAATCTACACATACGCCATTAAAGAAATTCAGTAATTGCGTTTGATACAAGATCAACCTAAGAAACATATTATTTCCGGCTGGGCGCGGTGGCTCATGCCTGTAATCCTAGCATTTTGGGAGGCTGAGGTGGATGGATCACCTGAAGTCAGGAGTTCGAGACCAGCCTGGCCAACATGGTGAAACCCGTCTCTACTAAAAATACAAAATTAGTAGGGTGTGGTGGCGCATGCCTGTGATCCCAGCTACCTGGGAGGCTGAGGCGGGAGAATCACTTGAACCTGGGAGGCGAAGGTTGCAGTAAGCTGAGTTTGTGCCATTGCACTCCAGCCTGGGCAACAATACTCGTGTCAAAAAACAAACAACACACACATACACACACAGAGTCTTAGAATTATAAGCTTTTCCAGGATAAAATAATTATATTAAAAACATACAAGAAGTAATGAATGAAAAAGAGCTGGCTCTAATAGTTGGGGGGAAAATAAAGCCCAATAACATAAACAATTTGCTAAGCCAATCATGAAAAAAAGGAGGGTACATGATCATTATTTCCAGTTCTGTCTGTTTTGCAAACAACAAACATTTGTCCAGGTACAACTATTTGCAAGCTCCCCCCAAAGGGTTCAGGCCACCATAGAGAAAAATTCCATGGTGAGAAGGTGGTCATAAACTAGCCCAGAGACTAGGGCCAAAACCCGTTAAACAAAATAAATGTAATTATTTTTAGTAATTAACTTGGGAGAAAAGGCGTGCCACGGTAAGGTGCTGGGGAAAGGGCGGATTTTTAGAGAAAATTGCTGGAACTGAGGTTTAAAGCAAAACCAAGGGGAATGGAGCTGCCTAGGGGTGACTTCCATACAAAACAGGCCCGATGCAGCAATCTCACAGTCTGAAAGTAGACTGTATTTCAACTAGCATAGTTTTATGCCAAGGAGGATCTTTTTTTCCAGACTTTCTAAGTCAGCCACTGATCCAAAATTCTGCAACGCAGCCTGTATCAAAAAAGCATCTATCCGTCATCCACTCTCGGAGATCCTTGTAGGTTGCACAACATCCACACAACGGCTATCAGGAGACAGTCGCCTGGAGCCCAGTAGCGTGGCAAGGGATTGTGGGAGGCAGCTCATTCCTGGAACAGGCGTCTCCGGGCCTTGCACGGAGGGCGCTCTGGGAGCTCCGGGCGCGCGTGGGGACCTGGACTTGGAGAGGGAGGTAGAGGTTGGAGAGGTGAGCTGGAGACAGGCTCCAGAAGGTGGAATTCTGGGTCGAAGATGGGGCTTGGAGAGCGTCTCTCTGAACTGGGGTTGGAGGCCGGAGCACAGGGCCCTGGGATGGGGCCCTCCCGGTAGGGGCTGAACATACTTCTAGCGGAGGGGTAGAGCCCAGCGGCTGAGCCGGATGCGGAGTCCATGCAGAGCTCCGGGAATTCAGAGTCCGCGTCCTCCTCGTAGGCCTCTTCCTCGGCAGCGATCTCTGGGACAGATGCGCAGAAGACTTCCTGCTGGACGACGACGTCTTCCCCGTGAGCGCCCAGGAAAAGGTCCACTTCCAGGCCGGCAGACGAGTCGCCCTGCGCTCCTGAGCGTTCGTCGACGGAGCTTAGGAGGACCTCCGGGATCAGGATGAGGGTGTGTCCACCAAGAGACACTCGCAGGACCGACATAGGCGCGAGCTCCAGCACCAGGTCGACGTTCTCCAGGGGCACACGCAGGGCACAGCCCGCGGCCAGGACCACCACGGAGGTGAGCGCGTCCACTGCCGGGATCCCCGCCGGGTCTTCCGGGCTGGGCGCCGCGCGGGGTTCGGGGTCCGCGGGCTCCTCCAATCGGCTGCGCTTGGCAGGGCCTGGTCCTCCTGGCTGCTGTCCCCACCAGGGCGCAAGGCAGGCGCTGGGACTGCGGGGCCGGCTGCCCATCACCTCGACGGCGCTGCGGACGGCGCTCCTGGGCCTGGCAGAGGACGTGGGGGCAGGGGGCGCGGGCGGCGAAGTCCTCTTTGAGGTAGCAGGTGTCAGTGGTAGGCGAGGCGGGTTGGGGCGGACGGGGCTCAGGACCGCGCGACGTGGGGCGAGTCCTCGGAGCCCTGGGGGCGCCTCCCGGAGATCGGAGTCCGTGCTACTGGAGGAGCCTCGCACGCTGTGGAGCTCAGCCTCGAGCGCTGGAATCTTGGGCCTTCCTGACGCAGACCCGGATGCACACTGCAAAGCCAATTATGTTGTAAATGACGGCAGCTGAACCGAAGTCGCAAAATGTCACGCAATCCTCCGCCCCCTGGAGGACCCGCCCTAGAGGCGGAGGTACCGCTGCTGCCCAATAGCGGTGGCTGTGGTTGGTCGGTCACGCTGGGGAAATACTCCTACGGGCCGCTGGGGGGCCGAGCATCTGTACCGCTCTACGGCCTGGCTTCCAGTATCAAGTTCTTGTCCTTTGCGTTGACCTCAGACGCGGAGCTGCAGACCGATTCAGGTTCACGTAACACTGGTGGAGGGCCAAACCAGCACACCGAGTCCTAAATCCATCCTCCCAGGCCCCGTCCCGGAAGTGCCCTGTGCGTTACTGTTGACGAATAGTGGCGTGCGTTTTTCGGTTCTCCTAGCGTGTACATCAATGTAATATCTTTTTAGGGGTCTTGGAAGGGAGAGTAAAGCTGGGATCCTGCGTGACGATGGCAGCCCCTGCATTATCTGTTTATTACAATAATTGGTACTATAGTAATTAAAGTCTTCCCTTGATATCCCTGGAGGATTGGTTCCCAGACTCCCGCATGGATACCAAAATCTACAGATGCTCAAGTCTCATATAAAATGGTGTACATTTGCGTATCACTTACATCCTTCCACTTATTTTAAAGCATCTCTAGAATACTTATAGTACGTAATACAATGTAAATACTATACCCCTGGTTGCTACACAGATATATATATTTATTATATAGTTTGTTTCTGAGATGGAGTTTCATTCTGTCGCCCAGGCTGGAGTGCTGTGATGCAATCTCTGCTCACTACAACCACCATCTTCTGGGCTCAGGTGGTCCTCCCACCTCAGCTTCCTGAGTAGCTGGGATTACAGGCACGTTCCACCACACTTGGCTAAGTTTTGTATTTTTTTGTAGAGACAGGGTTTCGCCATATTGCCCAGGCTGGACTCGAACTCCTGGGCTCAAGCTATCCACCCGCCTTGGCTTCCCAAAGTGCTGGGACTACAGGCGTGAGTCACCGTGCCCGGCCTTATATATATTGTTTTATTATTGTGTTATTTTCCATTTTTTCCCGAATATTTTCGGTCTTCTGTTGGTTGAATCTGCGAATGCGAAACCCGTGTTTCCAGAGGCCAACTCTATTATGCTACAGTCAGCTGAAGTATGGTTAACTTTATCTAATTTGACCTAAAGTACAGCTCTGAGGTCTGTTTTAGCCCAATTTATAGATGATGAAAATGTCATGCAGAAAGGTTAACCAACTTGGCCAAGAGCCAGGAACTAGCAGAACGGGGTCTGGCTTGTCCAGCTCCATTTAAGGTGATACACCTACACAATGTCGACGTTTTTGACCTGTGTCAGCTGAAAGGCACCTCTGCGTGGCATGTCCAGGCGGTAAAAGGGAAGGTGTAGCTCTGTAGCAGGACGAGCCGCAGACAAAACTGCTGGCTCCGGCCGAACAAAAAACCTCTTCCTTCTTTAATCCGGTGTCTGAGGAGTTATGTCTGCGGCTTGTCCCGCTACATCTCTTGGTTCCCTGACCGAGAATCGAACCTGGGCCGCGGCGCACCGCCGAATCCTAACCACTAGACCACCAGTGTTAATAGGAGAAGATACCCAGCTCTGAGTTTGGAATAGGTAATATTTTCAAGTGCTTACGGGGGACAACAAAGCATTTCCTGACATCCTTGCTAAGCATGTGATGTCCCACCTTGGCAGGAACTATTATTACATTTTATCATTCCAGAATATTCTTGGGCATTTAAAAGCAAATCTCATACATGTTATTTATCTCCCTCCCCTTTCTACAAAATTTATTCTTTTTTAGGGTTGCATAGCATTCCTTTGGATAGTCTTTACATTTAAATGAAGTCTCTCTTGCTGGACAGTGTTCTGTCATCACTTGGTAGCACTGTTATCCTCTGGTAGGTTAATGGAAAATGCAGATTATTTGCCCCATCCTAGAGCGATTGAAGTACAATTCTTGGAACGTGGGGCTTAGGTATTCTATGTGAGCACCTCCAAAAAATTGTTTTACTCCAAGATCATTGGACTTGTTTTCATTTCTCAGTTGAGGAGTTCATGACACCCGGCGGCTCATGCTTATGATCAGGGACCTGCTTGTTGGTGTCAGTGTTATGGAGGGAACTTCAACTTTCTGGGCAGCGTTCAGTACTTTTCTTAGCACAACTGGCCCGCTGTGGGTGGTTTATAGTGGCTGCCCGGTGGCTGCATGGTGGGGAATTCTCCTGGGGTCAATTGGCCTGGGACTGGGCACTGACCACGGTAACCAGGGTCGAGGACTGCGTTGGACGGCCCTGCTGGGAACCTGTGGTTCCTGCGGACACCTCCTGTCGGGAGAGTGTGGGTGCAGCCGGAACCGCCTCCAGTTCCTAGGTGAAAGAAATAGCGGCTCAGCGCAAGCATCCAGGCAGAAGGCGGTGGGGGTGGAGCCTGCGGGAAACTGCCTGCTTTGGTCCGGTAGAGTTTTGTCTGGACCCTTGAACCTTCTTGCAGAGAACAGTGGGTGCACCACTCAGAAGCGAGGGTGGACGGGTCATGATGTATGGGGTAGATGGGCAAGCACAGTTTCTGCCAGCCTACTGGGAGTGGGGCTCAGGGTTCCTGGCTAGGCCTCCAGCTCTGAGCAGGGTCGTGCCTGTGGCTTGAGTGGTGCCACCTCGTGTCTGCTGCTTTCCTGACCTCAGCGGTCTCACCTGAGAGCTCCTCAGTGTCCTGGGCCTTGTGATTTAACCCAACACTCTGCTTGCTCCGAATCCTGCCTGTGAGCTCTCTTTCCGAGTGAATGTGGTCCTGCTCCAGGACAGTAGGAGTTAGCAGGGGTCCTGGAGCAGACACATCTGGCTTTCTCTCCTGGCTGGCCACAGTCTAATTGGGTGATCATGGGCAAGTCACTTCACCTCCCCTAAACTTCAGTTTCTTTATATGTAAAATGGGGAGAATGCCATCTACTGTGGCATCTCAAGTGATCTTCTTGCCTCAACTTCCCATAGTGCTTGGATTATCACATATTCTTTATCCATTCATCCATTGATAGGCATTTAGGTTGATTCTGTATCTTTGCTATTGTGAATTATGCTGTAGTAAACATGTGAGTGCAGGTATCTCTTTGACATACTGATTTCTTTTCCTTTGGGTAGATACCTAGTGGTGGGATTGCTGGATTGAATGGTAATTCTATTTTTAGTATTTTGAGAAGTCTCCATACTGTGATCCATAGTGGCTATACTAGTTTACATTCCCACAGTGAACAAGAGTTCTCTTTTCTCTGAATCCTCACAACATCTGTTATTTTTTGTCTTTTTAGTAATAGCCATTCTGATTGGGGTAAAATGATATCTCATTGTGGTTTTGATTTTCATTTTCTTGGTGATTAATGTTGAGCGTTTTTTTCATATACTGATTGGCTGTATGTCTTCTTTTGAGAAATGTCTATCCATATCCTTTGCCCACTTTTTAATGGGACTATTTTTTTCTTGTTGAGCTATCTGAGTTCCTTGTATATTTTATCTGTCAGTCCCTTGTAGGATGAATAGTTTGCAAATACTTTCTCCCATTCAACAGGTTGCCTTTTCATTTTGTTGATTATTTCTTTTACTGTGCAGGGGCTTTTTTTGTTTAATTAAGTCCTATTTGTCTATTTTATTTTTGTCTTCTATGCTTTTGATGTTTCAATGATAAATTCTTTGTCTAGACCAATGTCCAGGAGAGTTTTCTCAAGTATTTTTGTAGTTTTGGGTCTTACAGTTAAGTATTTAATCCATTTTGAGTTAACTTTTGTACATGGTGAGAGATAGGGGTTCAGTTTTATTGTTCGGAATGTAGCTATCCTATTTTCCTGGCACCGTTTATTGAGGAAGGTGTCCTTTCCCCACTGTAAGTTCTTGTCAGTTCTGTTGAAGATCAGTTGGCTGTGAATATGGTGGCTTTATTTCCAGGTTCTCTATTCTGTTCCATTAGTCTATGTGTCTATTTTATGTCTTTACCCTGCTGTTTTGGTTACTATAGCCTTGTAATATATTTTTAAGTCAGGTAATTTGATTGATGCCTGCAGCTTTGCTCTTTTTGCTGAGGACTTTGGCTATTTGGGCTCATTTTTGGTTCTATATAAATTTTAGGATTTTTTTTCAAATTCTGTGAAGAGTGATGGTATGTTGATAGGGATTGCATTCAATCTGTAGAATGTTTTGGGTAATATGGTCCTTTTATATTTTATTTAATTTTATTTAGAGACAGGGTCTTACTGTGTTGCTCAGACTGGAGTGAAGTGGCATGATCACAACTCACTGCAGCCTCAAACTCCTGAGCTCAAGTGATCCTCCCACCTCAGCTTCCTGAGTAGCTGGGACTACCAGTGTGTGCCACCACATCCAGCTAATCTTTAAAATTTTTTGTAGAGATGGAGTCTCACTATATTTCCCAAGTTTGTCTCAAACTCCTCGTCTCAAGTGATCCTCTTGCCTCAACTTCCCATAGTGCTTGGATTATAGGCATGAGCCACTGTGCCTGGCCAATGTGATTATTTAAGGGTACTAGTTCTTTTGATCCATGAGCATGGCATGTTTTTCCATTTGTATTATCTTCAATTTTTTTCATCAGTGTTTTGTAGTTCTCTTTTTTATTATTATTATTATTATTATACTTTAAGTTCTAGGGTACATGTGCATAACGTGCAGGTTTGTTACATATGTATACTTG